AATAATAATAATAATAAATCATATACTTAAATATAAGATAAAGTGGCTACCAACCAAAAAATTAATGGCCAAGTGGCCTTTGGCCAGAAGAAACTCAATAAAATAGAAGTATGTCAGGAGACATAACTCAAGATAAGGAAAAAAAAAAAACAATAATAATGATAATAAATCATATACTTAAATATAAGATAAAGTGGCTACCAATCAAAAAATTAATTCTCAAGTGGTCTTTGGCCAGACAAAAGCTTGTTATGATAATGCTCTCCAAATACATATTTTTTTGTGTAGTATTTTATTTAAAAATAAATTTATTAATTTGAACAAATTTTTTATATATTTATTAAATTTTATTACTAACATTAAGTAATAAAAGATAAAAAAAAAAGTCCACATTTATAACACAACACATCATTGGTATATGAAATCGAAATGTGGCAAGTGGGCAAGATTTCCAAGATATTGATCCAATGGGAAGTTGACATAACATTGATCTGGATAACTTATTGAAATCATCCAAAAAGAAGTTAAAATTTTCAAATTATATTCTCAATCCTCATTAGTTACTATCAATTAAATGTCAATTTCTAAAATAATCTCAATATTTCACAAAAATAAATGGTTAAATACACTTTTTGATCCCTCTACTATAGAAAAAAGCCCTTTTTTAGTCCCTGTACTGAAAATATTTCCTTTTTAGTCCCTAAAATTTGAAAATCCAACCCCCTTTTGGTCCCTTCATTAAATTTTTTGACAAGTGGCAGTCAATTAACGGAAAAACTTATTTTTTTTCTTTACTTAAATTATGTGAACCCATAAATAAAATTTACAAATTTATGAACTTGTTTGAATGAGATTTTCATTGTACTAAATTTATGAACCCATAAATAAAATTTACAAATTTGAGTTTGTTTTCATGTGTGTGTCTCATGATGTTTTAATTTCCTAAAATTTTTGCCGTTCTTGAGTTCATTTCCGATTTTGTTGCTAGATGTTTTTGGAGTTGTTTGTTGAGAAGAACATGCTTTTTTTTTTTTGGCGGAGATTGAGAACCTAGTCACATGAGCTGGGTTCATCCTGGGTTCATGAAGAACCTAGGACAAACCCACCCAGGCACGCTCTGGGTTCATCGCGAACCTAGAATGAACTCAGTTGCGATGAACTCAAGTCATGCTTGGGTTCACGATGAACCCAGCAAAGATTTAAAAAAAAAAAAAAAAACCAGAAGGGTGAAGAAGATGGGGGCAAATAAGTAATTACAAAATAACCTTTAAAATATTTATAATGGTAATTATGTAATTAAATGAT